TATGTATAATATAATTTACAACTCCTAATTCTTGGGGTTCATCAAAGTCACAGATTTCTGTTCCTAGCACAGGCTCAAATACTGCAGTATTTTGAATTTAAAGATCTTACTGAAGACAAACACATTTAAAAATTTTACACTTACTCAAAAGAGTTCTTATTTAATAACATATTAGAATAAGTTACCTTTTGCAATGTGTAATATGTCTTTTTTTTGAGAATTAACCCAATCAAAATTAAATCAAAATTAAAATTAATTTTGATGGCACAAAATGATTTGTCTTACAAAATTCATTAACATAGAGCTTTCGGTAATTTAATTCTGCAGTTAGGGTGTTTTTGCAATCCTGCACCCACTTCTACTTTCATTCACTGCTGTTCAACCCCACAAGGGCTAATATATGGATAAGCCACACTGCAATAACTTTGGTTTGCTCTTTATATCTGAAATGGCTGTATTGCTTTAGGTAATGGACCACTACATTCCATGCAGATTTCGTATATTTTAGTTCCTTTCTCTTCTTAGCTTCTCTTATGCTTCCATTCCCCAAATAATTAGCATGGTGTAACATCTTTGTGGCACAGAGTAACACCTGAAAGCTTCCTATTTATTGCAACAGTTAAAACATCTTTCTTACCCCCCTCCCACTTTATCTATTTATTTAAAAAAGAAAATTAAAGTCTAGCATTCATTACATACTGATAAGTAACATTTATCTACCCTGGGGTACCTTTGCTTATTCTGTTTTGTGTGGTTTTTTAACATTTTCCCATCAGCTCTGAACTTGTTTTCTGGCTGCATAATTTTCCCATGATGCATTTAAGATGTATCTGCTATAATCAATATCATGCATAACACAAGCTTATATGAAAAAAACAGCCTGCAAATTTTGAATAATTCTGCAGCAATTACATAGGTAGAATGGCTTATCTAACCATGGGCCACAGCATGGGAGCTCCACAGCATGGGAGCTGCCACATTTTTATAGCATTTAAGGGTCATAACGAATATCCTACTGATTCAAACAATAGATAGATACTTAACATAGATCTTATCTGTATTAAACATATCTCATAATTTAAAAAGATGTCTATGAGACTGCAATAATTTTGCCATAACACAGGCCAAATGAACTTCCTAGATGATGAAAACAGTGATTTGTTTCCAAGTCTTAAAACTTCTCCGCAAAGGGAGGTTCTTATTCTTCCTGGTACACTGGCCAGCAGGGCAATGAACACTGGATGTCTGTAAGGTCATCCTTTACCAAGGGGATTCAGCAGTGAGATCCAGCTCAAAAGTCATTACACAGTCCTACTGTCCTCTTCCCATGCTAGCCAGGGTTGGAGTGGTGCCTGCAGGTGAGGGTCCATTGCTCGTCCCAGCAGCTAGGCATCCTGCTTGTGTGCACAGCAGGCTCTAAGTCTCTGGCACTGTTATTTTACCCCACTGAAATATATGGGCGAATAAAAAACTTTAGGTCCAACTACTTTTAACAGGCAGAGAGCATCTGCAAATTAAAATCTCCTCTTAATCAAGTACTGTCTTATTAAAACCAGAATTGATGCCAGCAACTTCTACTCTTGAAGCACACCAATAAGTCCCTGCCACCACGGTCAGCCAGTGTCATTTTCTGCCCCTTCAGACAAAGACATGCTTTTTCATGCTAGAGAGCCAGGTGGCCATCAATCACCTCCTCAATGGCACTACCTTCCAGCTCCACTTTGCCACATACACTCTGCTAATAATTAAACCACAATCTGTAACTCACAGAGCAGCCACCAAGGTCTCCTCTGGAGAACACACTCTTTTGCCATGTTACCAGGGAGGGAGATCATTCGTGGTGCAGACTTTTGATTAAGGAGCAGGACTCTGATGTCTGCTCCCCATGATGCCTGGTGTTTGATCTCATTAGGTAAGCTGCTGTGGATACTCATTACACCAAAGGTCATTTCATATGGATCCAAAATTTCAAGTAACTGAAGTCAGTAAACTACAAATCTCAATTACAGGAGAAAATAGTTTCTGTTGCAAAACTCCCAGAATAATATTAAATATTGTGTATGACAGTCTGCTTAAGGAATCCTAGTCACTGGCCAGAACATTGCTGTAACATGTCCTGCACAAGCACACAACAACATTTCCCCAAGGACCATTCCACATCCAAGAAGACTAACCGGTCTTTGAGGCAAGGAATGCCATTTTTTACAAGACATGAGATAAAAAAATGGCTCAAAACTATGCCTACAACCAGTGAGTGCAAGTCTCACTCGACAGTGTGTGCAAGCCAATGAATGACAGCAACCCCTATTTGTTTTTAAACCTCCACTTTTCCAAAACAGCAGGTATTTTGCTGCCGAGACTTTTAAATCAATTTGTTGCACTAGCATAACGAATGTTATACAAGCCACGTCGCAGATTTGCCAAGACCCACAAGGTCAGCTCTACCAGCAGACTGGAGATGATGCCACCAGGAAGACCAAGGTGACAAGCAGCTAGAGGGACAAGTTGCAAATGTTAGCAGGGTACACACCTGTCTTTGCCCTCAGGCCAGGATAATCAGTACAGTGGACATGTCAGGAAGCTGTCCAGTTGCATCAGTCAACAAATTGGAGTCAATTTGGCTCTCACAGCAATGATAGGTTGACTGCAGCCAAATGATAAAACATGACCTGAAAGTCTTGAGGGCACTTGTTAACAGCCAGAAACAGACATCAGCTAATAAAACACTGGCTTGGCACTCAGGAAGCTTCCAGCTGTAGCTCTTTCCTATCTGTTGACTGAGCATGGGTAAGAAAGAGTCTTACATCCTCATTCTGCAAGATGAGATAACACCAGCACTACTTGTCTAATGAGGTTAGGATGACATGTGCAGACAAGGCTGACCTACTTACAGTTTGAGAAGAGGCTTGTTCAGCACTATCCTGTATCTGCACCAAGCAGTAAGGATCACCCTCATTCACACCAGTAGAGTGGAAAGCTATTTGCATTTCCCAGGTACACTCTCTGACTTCAGTGACTCAGGTATATCTGCTAATTCCAGGCAGGTGATAACAAGCCAAACACACATTTCTGTTCAAAATTCAAGCAGTTGCAGGAAACTGGCAAAATCAGACCTGGACCACAGAATGCCATTAACTTGTAAATATGCGCTCTGAATAGGATATTTCTTTAGACAACTCCCAGGATGATGCCATGGTCATTTAATGGCATGTTTCCTGGACTGGCATTGACTCCTGCAGAATACAATGGATATGTCAACCTGCAGCAGCAACAGATCTATCCTGCCCCTCCCAGCTGGATCCAGCTGTTGTGGCAAGTGTGCTCTCAGGCTTCTTTTTCTTTTTGCAGGGCTCTGGTCACGCATGATGGTTCTTTAATATGTATTTTATTGCAGCTTTTCACATTCCTCTTCAGATTATTATGTGAAACAAAAATATACAAAGCAGTGACACTGGAGAAAAGGTCTCTTAAAACCATAATAGCTTTTGTGGTTGTGCAGTCCTGGTTGTGAAATGTTCTGCCTGCATGGAATATGCCAGATTCATAAAATCAATAGAATCAAGTCAGTTGGAAAAGACCTCCAAGATTATCATCCAACCCTACTGTGGTTACTAGACCATGGCACTAACTGCCATATCGAGTCTCATCTTATAAAATTCATAGCTAGTTCAGAGCTGTGGATTCTGCTGCAGTGCCAGCCACATGAAACGTGGACAATGCAACACAGAAAATGACTAGGCCAAAACCTTTTGGCCATAAGGGTCTTCTCTTCTTTCTACAGCAGCTGAGACTGCTCTCAACCAAGGACAGCCAACAGCTCAGGAAACGGAGAACCATCTCAACCATTCTCCTGTCCTTGAATAAAATCCCAAATGTGTGCTTCACTCCCCAAACCACTGCTACCATGAGGAAGATCTACTTTCAGAATTAACTTCTTTAGCTCCTGTGGGGATAGTCATGTAGAAAGCCAGAATTACACCATGGACCTAAATGCAGGCAAGGGAACTAGCTAATCATATACTAGCCCTAGGTGGATGTACAGTTCATATTTTGTAGCTTGCTGTCACACAGTGAGACACAGAGAATGTATCTTTTTCCCCTAGCTGGAAGTGGGAAAACACGTTTGGCTCTACACAGGCACTTTACACAAACATGTGTGACAGTCTGCAGCTTGAAGCTGCATCAAGTAGGACACACATTTGTATCCCACACGCTTCTGTCCCATCATCCAAGGTGCTCACAACTCCCTGGTGGCACAGTGAGCATCCCACGAGCAAGAATCCAGACAGGAGATGTTCTGCACCAGTAAACAAAGGATATGCCAACAGCTAAGCCTGCTCACTCATCCTCAGCTCAGAACTGCTCATGCCAGGAGCCCAAGACAGGTTTTTTTATTGGTGTGACTATCTCCTGTTTCACCATAGAGCAGAAGGAAGATTTACTCCAGATGGTTTCTACTGTTAAGAGTTACTGTCACACAGCAACTTCCCTGCTCAGGTCCATGTGCTGTAAAAAAACACATTGAACAATTTTCCTGCCCAGTGCATTGTCAGCATGTGAATCTGCAATGCCTACCTTAACTTCCACATGTGCCATCAGGACTGCAAAGTTGGTTAGGTGATTGCAGGAGCACGTGGTGTGGGTCTTGTTAGTTGCCAGCAGGCGACAGCCCTGGGTGGACCAATACCCTGTCATCGTACGCTTTGTATAGCTCCAGAATGAACAGTTTGGGTTGAAATTTTCTTCTGACTGCTGCAGGAAAAAAAATAATAAATGCAATAAAAATTATAGGCTTTCAGAGATTCCTAAATGCACCACTGGGGCACTTTGTAACTCTCACCCTTTAACTCTGGATAAACAATCAGCAGTGGTTTATACGCCAAGTATTACTTGCCAATATCAAAGAAAGTTAGATTGTTCCTGCTCTCTTTGCTAATGCAAACTTAGTTCTTTGTTCTTGATTAATTTCAGACATTGACTAAATCCAGCTCTTCAAAACCAGACTGCTTCATTTGCATTGCAGAGCAGAGAAATTAATTGCTTTCAGCAATCAACTTTTGTAATGACTGTGCTTGGCTAACAGGAGGACTATCTCTCCTCTTTCACTGTAATTCCACTTTCCTCTAACATCCCCTGCCACCAGGATAAAATAATATCATGGTCTATTCTAATATATTGGTCGTTTTTAATTACAGAGTGACGTGTGTCATCAACTGAGCAATGGGCATCAGCTCAAAGGAGACACTTTCTTTACTTCTATTAGTGCAACATGAAAGAGACATTCTCCATAAATAACACAAAGTGCAAAGCAACCAAAGTATAATTCAAAATCTAATCAAGGACTGCTGGGGGCCTCATGGCAGCCAACTTTTGCATCACTTCATTTCAGAAACTGAAAAAAAGAAGTGCTTTTTGAACTCACACACCTTGATGTGCTTAACAGTAAACACCACAGGATCAGCTAGGTAAACCTTATTGCTGAACTCTTTGTTTATTGCTGCTGTGATGACAGGGGAGTTGACAATGACAGAGTGATTCGTTGACATTGCTTCTGTTCCCAACTTCATGCTGGCATTCTCCGTGGAGAGATAGGTGCCCAGGTTGTTGTACAGCACAAAAGCCACCCTGATTTCACCTAGAAGAGCAGTAACAGGTTAGATATCCAGGTCAGCTTACTCAAGAGGGTTTTTTTCGATGACAAATATCTTCACTGAACCAACGTCAAAACTTCTCTGAGAAAATGTGAAAGAACTAAGATGTGGCATATGAAAAGTCATCTCCTGCTAAAGCCAGTGAACACCAAGAGATGCAACAAGCAGTCCATGGACATGAAGGGCAGAACTGCTTCTTCCAAAACAAACTTTTATAAGCAAACAGATTGGTGGAAGACAGTCAGAGAAGGTGGGCTTATTTTTGGCATCAGTAGGTGTAACTGGCTCCAAAAAAAAAGAGGCCAGGTGGTCAGTTTCCCACCTGACATCACTTTATTCTCCAGGCTATGCTTGGGAAACATGTTTCATGCTGGCCTGTCACACAGGTGCAGTATAAAACTATGATTTGGTCTGTTAATAACGTAAGGCTAACTCAGAAAAGTGTGGGACAAATCTGCAGGAAGAATTAAAAACTTTCCCACACCACTTCAATCTCACATAATGGATAAAACAAAACTGCAGAAATTTCATTTAAAAAGATATTTATTTTCTTAATTTGCCAATCAGATACACACCATTAGGGAGCCTGCAGAAAACCCAGGTTACCAACTGTTTTTAACTCAAACCATTCAGTTTGCCTTCTGTTCTGCACATTATTTCATGGGCTATAAATAAGAATGGAATGTGATGAGTTTGCTTTTATATGTATTAGTTGGGGAGAGATATGCTTTTGTTTCTACAGGCATCACCATAGCTTCTGAGTAAGGTGAAGCACTCGTGACTCCAAAGGTCCCTCCTAACCTAAATCCTTCTATGATAATTTTATTACTATTTTTTGGTGACCTTCACGCATGTGCCGAGCTAGTGCAAACTGATGGGATTCTTCTGATTTGACCAGAATTCAAGTTATATTATGCTTATAAATACAGACTTCCCCTTCATTGCTGCTAATACAGTTTCTCTTTCCCTTCAAATCTCTCTGATAGTGGAGTGAAACTCCTGCCTCACTGGAGCTTTGCTACACATCTTGAGCTTTACACTGTATTTAATAGAAATGCTTCTCTTCAAGTCCTGCATGCAAAAGTACCAAACTCTGTCAAGGACACCAATAGCAAAACTTTCTTTCTGAACTACCAGATCAAACTTTGCTCGCAAGAGTTGTCTGAAATTTTTGAAAGTTTTAATACATCTGGTCTGGCTGTAATACTGTCCTATCACTCCATGTTCTTTATTTTTTACTCAGAGAGGGGTAAGGCACTGGAACAGGCTGACCAGAGAAGTTGTGGATGCATTATCCTTGGAAGTGTTTAAGGCCAGGTTGGATGGGGCTTTGAGCAACTTGGTCTAGTGGGTGGCATCCCTGCCCATGTCAGGGGGGATGGAACTAGATGATCTTAAAGGTCCCTTCAAGACTCAAACCATTCTATGACACCTGCAGTGACTGAAGCCCATACTAGAGTGCTCTCCCCTGCACACAAATTAAATTTTAAAGGCAATCAGAAATAGAAGCATGTTAGGCCCATCAGTAGAAGACCTATGAGTCTGAAGTTCGCCTACAGCAGGGCTGTAGAGATCAACAAACACGTCTGCTCAAACTCCTCATCTGGAAATACATGGCTAGCCATGATGGAGACCATTCATCATCTGTAATTTATGCTGTATCAGGAGGTTCACAAGATCTAGAGAGAAAAGCACTAAAGATTTAGACTCATAACAGTTAATCAACCTTTTCTGCCACGTTGGCTCATTAGTAATATTTGCTACTATTATTTCTTCCCTCTACTTTTGCAGATCTTTGTATAGTGCCCCACTGTGAAGCAGTTTACTCAAGCAAGACTCTTATCCCACTGCAGACAACGGCAGTTAAAAGTACTTCTCTGGACTCAGCACTGTGCCCCAGCACCCATGCAATTTAAGGATCTGATGCATATTTACCATCACATAATACTTTTGAAGGCTGTGAATCACTTAACAATATAATAGGTCCCCAATCAAACAACTAAGCTTGCAGTCAAGGGCACGAGCAACTGACACTACCATTAATTTAAATATTAACATAACTATCAATACTAAACTTACAATAGTTAAACACAAAACAACACCTAAAGCATGACTGACTCATGAGGCTGGTGTGGTCTGAGGTGCTTGACCTACCATTTCGACCATTTTGCTTCAAGGTATTTGCTGACAGCTGAATGGCACTCCCATGGCCCATGTTCTGGGGAAACTTCAGATCTTCCAGACTCCCATCTGTGCTTAATCTTGCAACTTCCAGCTCTGTTTGCAAGAGAGACCAATTCTCAGAAAAACTCTCTACTGAAATAATCTTCAACACGATACTTCAAAGCTACAAAATGGTGTTCCAGACCATCTGAAAGCAGTGGAATCAACTTACAATACTTCATGCTAGTGTGTGTTTGGGTTCCTATTTCTTTTTAAATCTTTGCCCTGAAGAAGTTTTAAATTTAATTAAAATAAAAGAGCAAATAAATTCTACTCTCTGTGAAACACAAAAGACAACCAATTCTTGTAAACAAGAACCTCAGGATATTAAGGACAATGGTTAAAATGAAAAATCTGAAAATACTACTTCTTTGCCACTGGCGATTGGTACTTTCTGTAAATGTTATCAGTGCTCAGGATCTGTATTCATAGAAATAGAAAGAAGAGTTGTTCTCATTTTACATATGCACAGTAGGAGGGCTAGCTCTTGTTTTTTTAATTAAAATCAACCATCAGCCAAATAAAGACACAAATTTGTATGAAATGAAACACAATTGCATTATGGTGAACAATCTGCCTGAGAAGTGGCTCTCTTATAGCTCTAGTACAAATTATACCCTAAAAGCCAGGAGTAATAAAGACAGGTTTCCTGCTCATTTTCCTTGGGATTTCAAGGATAGAGAGCTGCCTTACTCCTTTACACTCTTCTGGAAAGACTCTGAAGTCCTTCAGACAAAGGGCTGAGACATATCTAATAAACTGCTCTCCAATTAATCTAGGCACCAAAACCAAAGCCAGGTTTCCCAGCATTTACTCTCCCATCATCTGCTCTTGATGCTTATGGGATCTGTCCCTTACGGATGTTGTCAGTGTTTTCCCGGACAATGTCTGTCTTCAGCAGGTTATCAGCCAGCACAAAGGCACTGTCCTCCACGGTGTCGAGTAACTTGGTGGCTGCACGCTGCTGTTCACTGGCATTCAGGTCCCTCCATGCATTCAGAGCCTGTGGCTGCAGGAGATTGTTCACCGTCTCCACCATAGCCTGCAAGGGAGAGCGATGGAGTGAGAAAAGGCTCTAGCAAAGCTAAAGCACCATCCAGACCTCAGACATATGTTTAGTCCCATCCTCCACACACATCAGTTTATAGGGTGATGACAATATCTCATTTCCCCACCCACTTGGGGCAGCCTGCAGTGGAGCTAGGCATATCAGAAGGGCAAGAGAGGAAATACTGATTTTATTCTAAATGCAGGCTGGAAACAGTGCTTTTCTGCTTTTGTAATCAGCAGCTCTAGGCTTGGAAAAAGAAGGAATTAGGGCAGGAGGTGGGGGTGGGAAGGGGCAGGGGGAAGATGAGGATTAAGGAAACATGCAGGAAAATAGATTTCAAAATCCAGCAGCAGGTTGCTTACTAACTGCAGCACCAGAATTCACAAATAGGGCAGGGGCACTCAAGGAAGGTATTTAGCATCTGCAAGGGCTAAGCTCTTTAGAATGTTTCCCACCATACAACCTCTGGTAGGCAGTCACAAAGACACAGAGATTGCTGAGTTATGCCACTTCATCCAGAGAAGCAGCAGGTACCCACAGAGATTTAGGTAAGACATTACATTTCAAATCATTCCATTCAGGAAGAAGTCAGTCCCACCATAACAGCTTTAGTCCCTCCTATGGTGCACTTTCTGCCCTGGGCTGCCACACACAAAGAGCTCTCCCATGGATAACTTCCCACAGGTTAAGCTGGATGCACACCCAGGATCACATGAAACAGTAATGGCCTCATGACTGCAAAATTACACCAGTAGAGCCTACCCAACTTGAAGCTTTTTCTCAACCTAAAACGCCCGCTTTGTTACTAACCAGAGCTGACTCAACCACTTTCCAGCTGACATTTTTTAATGAGACCAGCTGTACCAGGTGGTAGAACTGATTGCACAGAGTAAAAGGGAAAAAAAAGGTACTTTGATCATGCTTTCTTCAGCTGGTTAGTGTGTAGCCACCAGGCAGGCCTGTCACACGAAGAAACACCTCCACTGCCAGCTAATGCTGACTGCAGAAACCATCTTTGCCTTTCAGATGAAGTTGCTGTTCTTAGTAACTTCATGCTGAACACATAGGCATCAAATTCACACCTCAGTTCTGCAAGCCAATGACAGTCCCATGGGACTTCCACATTATGCAAGCCAAGAGTGTTCCCCATGGGCTCATTTTCATGGATAAACTTCATATTTACTCCTGATACTGATTCTAAACCTACCAGTGAAAACAAGATAAGGCATAGCTCATTCTCCAGCAGAGCCTTCAGGAAGCCACAATGCCAACATGTGGCACAGAGAGCATCCTGACTCACTTGCTCATCATGGTTAGATAAAAATGAAGAGTATAATTACATCAAACTAGAATTTGATTTTATTGCTATATTCAGGTGACCTAAAAAAACATTTTAATTACAGCAAGGTTCAAGGAGAAGCAAATACAGCTAGAACTGCCACTTCTGATGCTTTTAATCCCAGCAAAGATACCTTCCCTGAGTCTGGAAGGTTTCTCATACCATCATGCTTCCTATCAGGAGACTGCGCCATAATTGGACTCCTCTGACAGCACAAAGTTCCTACACTCCAAGCTACATTTATTCATGATAACTCATTTGTTCTTATGCCAAACCTCTTCCCTTCCCTTGGCAGCTACTACCCTGGTCCCTTGAATAATAAGATGACATTTCTCCTGAGCCTCAAAGATTGATTTCCCAAAACATGGAATAACCAGTACTTCAGCTGCTGAAATGGCTGAAAATCTCATCCTCTAGTGCTGTTGTAACAATCCTTTTGCTGTCATGCCTTTATGATCCAGGATTGGAATCCCTTATTTATTTGCTCTTAAATGGAACTTAATAATCATAAATAGCTTTTTTTTAACTGCTTACTAAACTGATTTTCCTCAATAGTCTAAAAATTACCTGAACACATCTACTATGTACACACAAAAAGATGGTTGACATTAACAGTCAAGAAGAAAGACTAAAAATCCATAGCATTTAAATGTGGGGTTTTTTCAGTGTTTTAAAATCTGGAAGCCTGATCTCTGTAGCTCTCAATAAAATTCTATAGTATACTTTGGCATTTTATCTCTTCACAGGCAAAAAGAAGGTAGTATTCCTGTCCAGTGACCTAAAAACTTGACTATTTTGTGGTGCAGGTTCAATGCAACATGCTACTTTCTTGAAAAGACCTTTTATGTATGAAAAGTAGAAAATGAGACTTTTCTCCTCTTTCAATATTACCACACAGACTACACTTTGCCTTACTTTCATTTAGTTCAGCTACTAATGGTACCTTTAAATCTATGCTAAAATAACATCCTGGATACTTTTCTCAATATCTGAATGGTGGAAAGCTTCTTTGCAGCAGATCCAGCTTCTGGCTGTGGATGGAAAGGTGAAGTCCATTTGTCAAAAATTAAACAGATGCTTAAATATGTGTTACAGTGAAATATTAGCTGCAAAGATTTTTCTCCAGAAAATTATTCTATGCAATGTGGGGTTTTTTTGTTTTAATGTGTACACGTGTGCAAAGTTTGAGAGAGAATATCAGTTAAGCTTAATGTGCCACTTACTGCACAATGTGCATTCCTTATCCAATGGACACAGTGCTAGCGAGCATCCACCCCCTCAAAATGACTAACCTGAAACGAGCTACTCCATATCACTTTGGGTTTAGGGTCTAACACAAAAGCTCCAGAAAGATTTCCAGGGACTTTAGGTCAGGTCCTTAGCATGTATCTGAACAGAACTGGTAGACTGTCTTCACTGGCATTACATCCGAGATTAATTTAGTCCCTAGCTTTTCCCAGAGTGTCACTCCCCTCACCTGTCTCAGCGCATTAATCAAGTGATCCTCACACCTCATCATGGCCGAGTGCTGCAGGCTGAATCCAAAGAGATGAGGTGCTAATGAAATGTGCATTTTGGACAGGCACTGAAGTAGGTGTTCAAATGAAACAAAACAGCTGTTAAAGCAACAGTCTTGTGAGACAGAGATGCCAACGGAGAAGTTGGGCAGCGGAGTGGGAACTGTGGGAAGGCAGGCACACATGAGAAAGACAGGCCTGTGTCTTTGCATTTAAGCTGAGCCATTATGGTGTAGGTGGGTTTGGCACCTAGTCCAATAACTTTGTGGTCTGATGAACCTCCAGCACAGAAGAAACAGACGTGCTAAACTCCCAGGAAAGCCTCCCAGTGACCAGCCATGGGAGGGTTAGCCCTGACAGAGGACCTTTAAAATGCAGAAGGCATGAGATATGTGTGCATAGGAGCTGATGGCTTGATAGATTTTACCTGAGATCCCTGGTGATACTGATGAAGGTGGGGACTTTCAGACAGAGATAGGAAAGTTCTGACCTAGTTTCATCCCACCTCCTTTCAAGTATTTAACATGCAGCCAAGCAGGGAGCCCAGATACCTTCTGGTTTCTCTCCCCACTGAAAGCAGAAGAAATTATGCCAAGTCTTATGCCTATTTCAATGCCCAAAGTCACATACCTATCTGTGAAGAACCCAACATCTATTAAAGGATGCTGCATGACTACCTCACTGAAGACCCTAAAGGACTTTCTTTGCGATGGTGTTCTTCTTTTGCTCTGCCAGATCCTTCTTCCAAATGCAGCCTATCTGTAAACCTCATGCGAAATAAAAATGTGGGGCTTGGAGTCCAAGCATATCTCCACATCATGCACAGCTGGAACCAAACCAATGCTGTGGTTGCTTGGGCTTAATGAATAGACAGCACAAGCACAATGATGCCCTGGGACAAACCTAACTAAAATTACACCACAGGAAAGCTTTCATGAGGCACAGCTTGCTTGTTTGTAGGCTAAGATCAAATGAGGGAAGAAGGACATGGCAGAAGAGAGCCAAGAAGGAAAACTTTCATTGTTTCTATCCTGAGATATGCAGCATAGCTGTATGATGCCTGTGAAGTCAGGCTATCTATACATGCAAAGCCAAACCCTTTAATTACTAGCCTGTAAAGAGCAACCATCCTGGGTCAGAGAATATTAGACACAGTGCACCTTTCATGTCTCCAGCAGTGACTACAATTGGACATCGACAAAAGAGCAAGAACCTTCCAAGCACAAAAGACAAATCCCGTGACAGTGATGCCTTTCACTACACAGTTATATAGCACCACAGACTGTATGTTCAATGTAAAAAAATGTTAATAAATTGCAGAGGGAGGTGGGTTTTTTTCCCAAATAAGGATGATGATTTCTTGATTCTGTCCTGAGGTTACAAAACAGAAACAAAATGTAAACCTTCCATCTCAGACACTTACAAATTGGTATTCAAAGACATACTGTAAAACAGGCAACGAATTAGGAGATTTACAGTAATTATACATTACTAAAAGGCCAGCGGTAGATATCCTGTTGATTACCTTTGTGACAGCTGCTTCATTTTGTAAAACTCAGCGTTGCTTGTTCATTTGTTTTTCTCTTCTTCCCCTCTAGAAATGTCTGGTGAGAGTATCTGGCTATGTGGCACACAGTTTAAACCTAGGAGGTGAGTATATATCCAGTGATACCCCATCCATTTATTTATCTCTCACTGTACCAACATCCAAGGCACTGCCCTTTGAGAAAAGCAGATTCTGCAATGTAAAATCTGTCTTTAATTGGAAGTCAACACTGAAAATCACTAGGAGATGTTAGATGTACTCAGCTCATTGCCAAATTTGGGACCAGACTGCATTGTGATACAGTGCTTAAGCACAGCAACCCCAACCTTAGAAAACCAGATGCTCTCCTAGAGTCAGGACCTCTTTAAATCTTTATTGTTCATTTCAGTCTCTTGATGAGCAGCTCATGGAAGAAGAAAAACCTCAACAAACTTAAAACCAGCAAAAACACTGCTTCATGGCAAATGAACACCAGCAGGTCATACAGAGAATATCGACTGAATACTTCTGCTGAGTAATTTTCAAACATGCAGTTTTCAAATATGCTTCCTTACAAAGGAGCACCTCCTTAAGAGGAGACTGAACACTG